AAAAATTTTGATATTTATTTTTCATAGGTCTTGATGTTGATGGTGTTGTTGTTGAAAAGGAAAAAGCTGGTGTTACACTTGAAAAAGAAGTTCGAAAAGGTATTGATCCAGTTTTAGTTGAAATGATCAAAGGAAATGTATTTCGTACAAGAGTTTATCCAATGCCAGTTGGAGGCACACGAATTGTTCGTATCATTTATCAAGATCAAGCACAAATGGAAAATGATCACTTTCTATTTCACATACCTATATATTTTAATACTACACTTGAAAATTTGAATATTTCATTGATTTGTACACATGCATCAAATGATTGTCAACCACAATTTCTTTCCAAAGTAAAATTTCAACAAAATTTTGTGAATTCAAATGGAAGATTTTGTTTTGAATCTCACCAAGTCAATATTAAATCATCACAAGATGAACAGTCTATTACATAAATGCTAAAAAATCTAACACCAAGACAACTTATTCATAGTGTAGAAATCGATCCTGATGGTCATAGTCAAGCTTAGTTTGCTTTAAGCTATGTGCCACCACTATCGCAAACAAATAATATTGTATCTAATAGTCAAAATTCAATGTCGATTTGTATACTTTGGGATGCAAGTTTAAGTCGAGCTAATCCTGAAAATCGTAATCATGAAATTAGTATGCTAAAGATGATATTAAATACTTGGAAATTGAATGGTAATAATATCAATTTAACTATTGTTGTTTTTCGAAATGAACTTGAAGAACCACGTTCATTTAATTTACATGAACAGGACTATTGGTCTCAACTTGATCAGTTTTTAACTAATCTATCATATGATGGTGCAACAAATCTATTTCAACTAGCTACACTTTCAACTACCATTCCAAATACAACACATTATTTTTTATTTAGTGATTGTCTTTCGACTGTTGGTAATGATGAACCAACCCTATTGAATAATTTGACAACAAAACCAATATGGATATTTAATGCTAATTCTGTATATGAGCCAAGTAATTTTCCATAGATTAATTATCTAACTAATCTTAGTGGTGGTGGCTATATTTCACGTGAGAAAATCATAACTCTAGATAATGCTAATGATATTGTTCAATGGATTGATAGACCATAAACAAGATATTTGAATATGAATATTATCAATGATGCTAATGTTCATGATATTTATCCCAGTCATTCAATTACATTAACACTAAATACAGAATGATTTATACTTGTTGGCAAAAAGTCATCATCGATCTCAGCTAATATTGCTGTTAATTTTATTATTTCAAATCAAACACATCGTAAAGAATTAAAGATCGATAAAGTAGATTCAACATCTGAAAATTATGGATTATTACGACGATTATATGCTAAACAAATGTTAAGTGAATTAAGTGCATTTCCAGAAAAAAATAAAAAGCGTATTTTAGACATTGGTTTGAAATATACACTTGTAAGTAATTTTATATCGATACTCGTCCTAGAAACATTACAACAACATATCGAACATAAGATATATCCACATCAATCACGTAGAAAATTATATAACGATTATATAACTTGTCAAAATAATAAAAAACAAGAAGAATTAACTAAAAATCAATCAAAACTAACAGCTGTCTTGAATTTATGGCAAACACTTTGCAGTTGGTATGATAAAATAATAACAGACAAAGATTGTAGAAATGCATTCCAAAACAAACACTCTAACCAACATAATAGGGAATACTGTAGAATGACACGAAGTCGGTCTCGATCACGACCTTCTACTATGGTCAGCCGTGACTATGCAATAGATGATGGTTCATTAGAGTTCATCGAAGATACAATGCACTACAGACGATTTGATGAAGCAGAAAGGACATCACTCTTATTCAGGGATAATTCTGACATGGAAATGGGTAACAGTTTTGGCGATGATTACGAGGAGGAAGAAAACTCTCACTACCGATCATCATATTCAAGAAGACGTTTATCTGATGATAACCTTGCTGCTACTAATACTGGTAGTAATACTCAAACGATTACTCTTCAAAATTGGGATCCACAAACACCATACATGAACAAAATTAAATCAAGTACTAGTTTACAAACAGCTTATCAAATTTATTTAAATGAACGTCAATCATATTCTAAATCACCATCATTTTATTTTGATATAGCATCATATTTTTTCTTACAAGCTCGTTCTTCAAATTCAAAACAATCATCAATAAATGTATTTAATCAATATTATGCACAGTCAAATTATAATATTTCAAATGAGTATCAATATTTTGGTTTACGTATTCTTACAAATGTTTTAGAATTGGAATAAGAATCAATACAATTATTACGAACTGTTGCTTATAAGCTTGTTGAATTTAGTCTTTACAATTTAGCTGAGAATATTTTTCGACATATTGTAAATTTGAGATCGGACGAACCACAATCATTTCGAGATCTAGCATTATTATTACAAGAATCTAATTCTGAAACAAAGAACCTTATAGAAATATCAGATCTATTTAAGAAAGTTATATTTGGTGAATGGGATAATTGTTATTCAGAAATTGAAGTTACAACATTGCATGAATTGAATTGTTTTGTATTTCAATTTCATCAACAACAACAAATATTGAATTCGATTGATAATCGTCTTCTTCGTCATTTACCTGTTGACTTAAGAATTGTTATGGTTTGGGATACAAATGATACAGATGTTGATTTACATGTTATTGAACCAACGGGTGAAGAATGTTATTATTCTCATAAAAATACAGCTATTGGTGGTATGATAAGTCGTGATTTTACAACGGGCTATGGATCAGAAGAATATCTTGTTCGAAAGGCAGTCAAAGGTACATATATAGTTCGAGCAAAATATTTTGCTAATCATCAACAAAGTCTAACGGGTGCAGCAACAATCATGATACATATTTATAAATATTATGGACAATCAAATCAACAAAAAGAAATTGTTACATTACGATTGAGTAGTAATCAGGAAATGATCGATGTATGCAAAGTGAAATTCAATGATGATATTCAACAAATTTCAAACAATACAGTAACGAATAATCAAAATTTAAATACGAATATTCATTTATATGTGGCGTGTGATGGATGTGATATGTCACCAATAAAAGGAGATCCTTACAAATGTTTATTTTGTCCCGATATTGATTTTTGTCAATCATGTAAATCTATTAGTAGAACAAATCATAATTCGAATCATCCATTATTATGTATTAAAGATTCCAGTGAATATCCAAAGTCAGTTTATTTAAATAATCATAATAAAATCAATCATAAGAATAATCAATGTAATTCATGTTTTATGAAGCCGATTATTGGTATTCGTTATAAATGCACTTGTGGAATTAATGTGAAAAATGTGAATTCATGGGTTTACATGATACAGATTATCATCGTACAAAAATAGTTAAATCAGAATGATTCCATTCAAATTTTGACTTGTGAACTTCTATTAAATAACAAATATTTACTAAAATAATTTTATTCCTGACTTTCTATTTATTTGAATAAAATGGTTTTTTGATTTAAAAAGAATCAACATCTATTTTTTACAGAGAATATTTTTTCTTCGTCAAAATTCAGCTTTTAGTCTAAAATTTATTTTAAAGGTTACATAGTAATAAAATACATGTTTGTTTTCTCAATATGTCATAAGACTGAATAACACCCTACTTTTTCAATTAATTAACTGAAGAGTCTTTGATAGACAAGTCGTTTTCGTTTTGGGTGTTAGTGTGGATTTAGATAAAACGAATACCTACATCCTCAGTTTTATGCTTTTCAATTTTCGGATATAGTGTATCTTGAATTTCTACTGCTTTTTTTCACTAATTCTTCGTCTTGTTTCATACACTCTAGTACATTCAAAGTTATTGTCCTTAAAATAACACATTTATATGCCAACTTTTTCCACTCATTTAAAATCTAATAATTTATCCACGTTGTATTGATTAATAACGAATCAAACTTGTCGGATAAAACGCATTTGTTTGATAAAATTAATTGTTATCATCAAAGGACATAACTGGTAATGTCGCAAGCAACTCCTAATTGAAGAGAACGAACAGCTGCCTATATCAAGAAGAAAATAGTTAAATGAAAGTTTCATGCAGAATAACATATGATCTGTATATGCTTCTGAATGAGAACAATCCAATGTGGGACAATGAACTTCAGGTCGTTCGATTGAACTCCTTCGTTTCATGACAATATTCATTGTCATACTAAAGAGAAAGATACATTAATTTAGGAAAACATGTTTCAAAATTGTTGATTGAACCTAATTTTTGAAAGTTAAAATGTTTCAATGTGATAATACTGATTGGTTTGTGTACGATGTGGTATTCAGACGTAATGAAACAATTTGTTCAGCATTGAATTTTCGAAGAATCATCTTAATAAATGCATCAGAAGATTGACAAATCTCTACTTTTCTTTCATATTGATGTAGTGTAGGAAGAATATTCGTAGAAAATAGATTGATTGCATCGTTTAATGTTAGATATTTCAGTAATTCAAAAACACAATATTCCAACAAAGACGAATCTTGGGAATAATGAGATCAAATGGCTGAAATGAAATGAATAACAAAAAAAAACTTCTTCATAGTTTATTCAATTTCCGAGAAATGTTCTTGTTTGAAGATTCAATCAGATTGAATAAATAGCTCAAACAAAAACTTACTGGAGTTCGTTCATTGTCATCAAATTCTTCTTTGAATATAACCAATTCATAGAGTACATATTCTCGACTAGATTTCTCTAGAGTTTGTATCAAAGTATCATCTTCCAACAATGTCTTGATCCGATATTCGGATATGAACGAATCATATTGTCTTTCAACAACTAGTAGCATACTTCCAATGAGCATAGGATACTGTTTGTTTCATGTCAAAGCTGAGAGAGAGAGTGTAGGTGGGTGTGGGTTTGGGTATGAGTGTAAGTGTGGGTGCGCGTGTGGACTGAAGTTTCACAAGCACCTTTACCCACACTCACACTACTCATCCACACCCCATATACACTCACACTCACACCACCCACTCACACCCACACCATCCACCCACACTCTCGAGAGATGATATATGAACTTGATTATTGACGTTTTGAATGATTAATTCTGGTAGTGGTTTAGCATGGGTGTTGGTGTAGCATGCCTAAAACACCCACACCCACATCGATACTCACACTCACACCCTCAATGCGTTACTTATCAGATGTCTTTGGTTATCTGAAATAACAAAGAAGAAAAGAATACCAGCTAGATAATGTTTGAAAAGATGCTGTTACTCATCTTTATCTCCCTTTTTTATCAGTTGCATAGTGTATATGTCGTTGAGAACAGAGAATCCGAAGGGAGCAGTGTTCGCTATAGTCTTATTTATACCTTTTTGCCTTCTTCATAAGCAGAAACATTCCACATTTCGCACAAATCTCATTTCAGTTTTAACATGGCAGTTAAATATCCGAATAACCAAAAGAAATCTATTTCCGAGAGGTTCTTCAATGTGAAGGGTGTGGGTGTGGATGTGAATGAGCGTAGAGGTGCACCAAACCCAAACCCAGTCAAACCCAAACTCTGGGTTTGACTGAGTTTTATTGGGTTTGACTATGTTTGGGTTTGGGTTTGATACGGTTTCACAAGGTTTCACTAAGGTATGACTGGGTTTGGGTTTGATGTATATCACATAAAGATTAGATTTTCGTGGATGTTTGTAAAACAAGCGAACAACACTCACGAACACCCTTAAATCGAGAGCTGATTTTATCAGTAGATAGAGCTCGCCAAGTTGGCTCCACGAATATCCATGTCATTTGACAGTGAGTAGCTCTACTCGAGTTAGGTATATACCCAAAATTTCGGCCTTTTATGTGCTTGCATAAAGAAAATAGCAGGGATCGATCTTTTCAATTTTAAACCTAGTAATCGAATTCTGAATGTATGAGCGAAATTAAAGTATGAGGCTTAAAATTGAAAAGGTCGGTCCCTGCTATTTTTTCATACGAGTACATAAAAGGCTGAAATTTTGGGTATGTACCTAATTCGAGTAGGGCTACTCACTGTCAAATGATACGGGTGTTCGTTGATTAAAAAAAATCAATGTACATTGAAAATTTTTTTTATTGTTCAACCGTTTTGGGCGTTCGTGGAGTCAATCCAGCGAGCTCTATCTACTGATAATATCAGCTCTCGAGTTGGGGATGTTTGCTTGTTTTACAAATATCCCCACAAATCTAATCTCTACATGATACACATCAAACCCAAACCCATTAAAACCCAGTCAAACCTAGGGTTTGAGTTTGACTGTGTGTAAGTGGGTGTGTGGATAGATGTGGGGTGTGGGTGTGTGGTAGGATGTGTGGATGTGGGTATGGGTGCCCGTGTGGATTGTGAAGCCCCACAAGCACCTATATCCACACCCATCTCCATATAATAGCCCATGAAGATCTATGGGTACCTCTATATAATAGTCCTTGCAGATCTATGGGTACCTTCATATAATAGCCCTTGAGGATCTATGGATACCTCTATAGTATAGCCCATGAGAACTTCTGGGTACGTCCATAGAATAACCCGTGAGTAGGGTGTGCGGGTGGGTGTGGACGTTACTTAAAAGTTCAATCCATTCAATTGGAACTAGCGGGATCCAACTCCTATCTTGTCGTATCCTGTGATCGGATCCGAACTCCATAGCTGAACTTCAAACAGCCGGATCTGGGCTTCGTAACCAGACCAGAAACTACAGTATACGGCTCGTATCCTGTCACCGTCATAAGTCGCTGGAACCATACTGGAAACAGGCATCCGTATTCAGCCATCGCTTCCGGACTCCGGAACTCACGGGAATTAAGCAGGAAACGAAGGCCAGAACCGATTTTGGAATACTGCTACCCTGAAATCGCTGAAAATTCACCTGATCAAGCGGTTTCCTGCCGTACGTCTTGGACCTGAGTGGTGTAGCATCAGCATGCGCAAAATAATAAATTGTCGAATCACTTATCTATGAATGTAGTTCCGTTTGCCATCTATATCCACACTCACACCCAATTCGTCACAGGATCATTCGTGGCACAAACATTTCTTTGCAGTCACATGAGCCAATCAAAATTAATATCTATATTTCAATGGTCAGACAACTCATTTGATTAAGTTTGACTCATGTAATTCAATGTCCATAAGAATTATGAGAAATACAACTAATGACTAAACTTTGATTTTTTGATTTCGGCATGTCGACTACAAAGAATCCTAGCAAGAAAACAAGTCGAATTTATCTCCTCCATAATTAATATTAATAGGATGTCAAATACCTTCGATTACAATGTATCATCAGAATTCTTCTTGACATTCTATGAATCAATAACTCAATTTGACTAGTTTTATATACATATATACAATGGTTTGCAAAAAAAGCTTGGAACAAATGTTTAGCTTGTATCAGGAACTAGTTCAACTTCTTTCAAGAAAAATATTTCTCTGTTAAAAGAATATCAGTTGACAGTTTTAGAACATCTGATCCGGGATTTTATTCCTCCTCCTTTTAATTCTAGAACTGCAAAATATCTAAGTTTTAGCCTATCAATAAAATGGATTACAACTTTTTCAACATTAATAATTGAAACAATATAATTAGCGTGAAATTATGCTATTGAAAATAATAAAACTAAATCTTTCACATCAGTAATCGAGCGATTATTTAAGTATCACTTAATTATTTCTTCAAAAGCATGGATCTGGTTTTAGGCATTATTCGGGATGAAGAATTCGTTTCCGATTATTTAATCCTCAGTATTTTAGAAACCTTTAGAATCTAAGCCTTTCAAATCAGGAACTAATTCTATATAACAGTATCTTCATCTATCGATGGAGTTTTCTAACAAAGCGAATTCTCATGTTCTAATAATATAATGTAGACGTATCATTGATTTTGAGACTATGTGCCATTATTATCTCAGATTAGTATCGTACTAAAATAAATTAGAATCGAATCATATATATATAGATATTATTTGTGGCTAATCTGCTTAGTATAGACCTGCAATAATTGCAAAACAAAGGCTCGACAGAGTTTAGCAAGTATTACATGTTTATATAGTACGACTGTTTCACGTTTTTTTCGCTAACTATTGTTTATATGTATACAATTACACTCGATAGTCTCTAAAATAATAGAATTTGTATGTCAAACTCGAAGATTTGAAAATAGAAATTCGTTAAAAGTATTTGATGACTTCAATGCTGCTTTTCTTTATTGAACGTTAAATTTTGTTAGTCTTTCCAAGGTCTTTTCTCATTGTCAGAAATCTTGAACTGCAGTATAAATTTTAAAAAATGTACATTTCTACTTCCACTACTATACGAAAACTCTCATCACTTGTATAGCTCGAATAAACTAACTTCTTATCGGTA